TCTCTCTCTCTCTCTCTCTCTCTCTCTCTCTCTGTGTGTGTGTCGCTCTGTCTCTCTGTCCGTCTGCCTCCCGGTGTGGGTCCACACCTTCCATTTGCTCACTTGCTCCCTCCCTCTCTCTCTCTCTCAAACACACTCGTCTTCTCTCTGTCATTTTCTGTGTGCAGGGCTGTGGGATTCTCGATGTGTCTGCTTCTTGGCATAAGTATGCCATTGGCACCAAGGATTTAACTGAGAATGACCTTGTTATCCTCTTTGCTTCGTTTTTTTTTGTTTTTTTCACTGCCAATCTTGCAGATAAAGAGCTGTTTGATTGCAACGTTTCTGGGGCTTGATCAGATAGTTTGGCTTGGCAGAAGTGGGATATACAAGGTGGGTTTGTTTTCTGCTCTTCCTTGTCAGAGGCAGTTGGTGCTTTACATTGATGCATTGAATAGGCTTTTGAAGTTTGAATTCTGTGGATCAACAGCTGCCGCTGTCTACCGGGTGCACACAAGCGCTGCAAGACTGTGCTCCTCCTGGAGACAGTAGCTCCCGATAAGCTGCGTTGAGAAGTCAGGAACTACAGTCTTCATCCAATATAGAAAGCACGGTCCTCATATGCATTTAATCATCACCAACTATTACATTAATTATTGTTTTTGATGTGTCCTTTGAATTTATATGTCATTACAAGTAGTGAGAAACAATGATGGCCACTGATTACTCCCCAAGAAGGAGAGCGAGCAACTGCCTGAGATGTGTCGGAGTAATGATATTACCGTTCAGCTTAAGACAACCTCAACAAGTAAGCTTGCAGCAGCTCTACTCTTGACTGTGCCAGGGGCTGCTTCGGGAAGGAAGTATGTGTCATCTGTTCCACCGGTTCGGTTTCACAGTGTTCTCCTAAATGCTTAAGAGAAGGTTAACAGAGGCATGGATTTTCAGAAATTTCTCATGCCATTTATAAGAAAAGCCAAAGGCCTTTTTAATGAAACTTGTCACCCATACATAGAGTGCACAATTTCTCATGCCATTTATAAGAAAATTCTAAGGCCTTTTTAATGAAACTTGTCACCCATACATAGACTCGTAGAGTGCAAAAAGTTTCCAAAAACAGGCCTTTTAAAAGAAAAGCCGAAGGCCTTTTTAATGAAAAACTTGTAACCCATACATAGGGTGCAAAAACAGGGCAAAAAAAAAAAAAAAAAAGAAAACACAAAAAAATTGACCCCCAAACCCTAAATTCAGTTTTGGGCCCGTTGGGCAGGATCTGAAAATAGGGGGTCCCGGTTAACCATTAGTTTAATGCTTCCCCCAAACATAACATGTGGTATATCGTTGGTGGAATGCACTGAACAGGCATCTTGCAAATGTTTATGATGAAGGGATCTTGGGTCTTCCTTCTCCTCTCCCGTCTCTCCTTCTGTTGGTACTCCTCTTCTGTTGGTCTAATATCTTTGAATGTTTCTTTTGGGGGTACATCGCTAGAGGTAGGTGTCTGCATCAAGGTATGGGCTTATTGGACACTCCATCCATCCTTATAGGAAGAAATCAATGCTGTCAAGGTTCCCTGTGACAGGATTTCACACACTTAGACACCAGAAGTCCCGGTCCCAAGGTCCCAGTCACTCCCTGTCCCAGGCTGTCCTGATAGGATAGGTCTTAGGGTTCGTAGGCCAAAGCGTCGTACGTTGGTAGAAGTCGGGTACTGAAACGTCGCAGCCCGCTAAGGTCCGCCGGTACCTGTAGAGGAAGTCCAGTCGAGTACCAAGTACAAATTTGCAGCAGCAACCCCTCCATCATGAGATCTCGCATCCTTGCCACTGAGAGAGCCGTGCAGGAAGCAGCGGGGCAGATATATGTAGAGCCTGAGGACGAAGACGAGGGACTCGTGGACGGCAATGATGATCACAATGCCATCCTGTATGGCAAAGGCCCCTCAAATAGTGACGGTCGAGGATCCACCCCAGTGCCTGAGGGCAGCTCGGGGGGTACATCATGGATTCCGGGACTCTGAAGAGCACCAACGACGACAGGGAAGGAACTGATGCAGACACCAAGGAGACGGAGGCGGCAGTTTATTAGAAATCTGAACTGATGCCAAAAAAAAAAAGGAAGTAAATAAATAAATAAATCAGACCAGAAGAGGACAGTACCAAGCACAGTGACTGGAAAAACAAAACCAGATGGACTGCAACGGCGTGCCTCCTGAAACCGTAAGAGAGTAGACTGGCAAGCCAAAGGACTGACGATCCATAGCTGGAACATCAACTGCCTGGGCAACATTCTCACTGAGCACGGCAAATTCAGGGGCAATCAGACTCGACCTTACGGACAAGAGAAAGCCCAGACCCGATGTCATCCTACTACAAGAGACCCACCTATCCAACCTCACACACCACACTAGAATCAAACGGACCATGGAAAAAAGCCTAGGTGGCTCTGTTCACACTGTGGTCCAACAAAGAGGACCAAAGCAACCGAGGCACATTGATCGCAGACTAAGGAAGGAAGAACTGCAGATCGCTCTCGAAGTAGCAGAGGCCAACCACGTATCCGACCCTTCCAACTCCTACCACAACCTACTCCAATCGACCAAGGATGAACTAAATGAATGGAGAAGATGGAAACTCAGAGGTCTACAAATACATGCCCGAATGGCCGACTACAGTCTCAACAAATCCATGTTTAAATTATTTTCCAAAATCAAGGCCAATGCTAGGAACAACGTGATAGACGGGCTGAAGGACCCAACAGATCAAGCGAAGACAAAGTCAACTGGCACAGACATGGTAAGGATCGCCAGATCCTTCTACGCTGATCTCTACGAGGCCAAGACCACATCTCCCCCTCCAACAGCAAATATCAATGCCCGTTAGCACATGATGAGGTGCCTAGAAAGAACGATCACGCAGAAACAAACAGAGGATCTGGACAAAGTTCCGACAAACCAATTACCTTAGGAGAACTTCACGCAGCCCTGTCCCAGATGGGAAACTACAAGGCACCAGGTATCGATGGTCTGTCCAAAGAATTCGGGACCCAGTTTTGGCCGGTACTGGGTAACGACCTCTTGAATTCCATCAACGACGGCAGGGAAAAGGGAGGCCTGGGCCAATTCCTGAGCATCAGCGTAGTCTCTTTAATCTACAACAAGGGAGGCAAGGAGGATCTAAAGAACTACAGGCCAATCTCACTCCCCACAACGCCCTACAAAGTCCTCGCAAAGGCACTAGCCAACATTCTCATAAAACTAATGGACAAATGCGTCCATATCGACCAAGCCCTGAACGAGGCTGCAAAGAAGATTACAGAAAAACGGGTGCAGGCGACAATCCTATTCTCCGACTTCCAAAAGGCCTACGATCAAGTCAATTGGGACCTCCTCCACTACTGCATGGAGAAGATGGGAGTCAGCCCAAATTTTAGAGAGTGGGTAAGAGTGCTCTATGGCAACGCCACAGGCAGAGTGCAGATAAACAAAATATTGCCAGACACCTATCCGATATCGAGATCGCTCTGCCAAGACCACCAATATTCCTGTTGATCATGGAAGCGATCGCCTCTTTTCTGCACAAGGACCCATCCATAGACCGCCTGGATGAACAAAACAACAATCCCCTTCATGATTTCACTCTCCCCACAGCACTGATGTTCGGAGACGAGCTTGTAGCGGACCCTTTCACTGTTCTCGCTGTGCATCTGAATTGAAGCCTGAGAGGAACAAATGGCTGGGCAAGCTGACAGTCAATCCTCCTTAGGAGGAGCAATCAATGCTGGTCAGGTTTCCTTCGGCCAGACGGAAGGAAGCATGAGTGGGTACTATTTTGTATTCAATTTTGACTTGCTGGGGGAATAGGAACCGGACTGAGAATTGATATGCTGGTCAGGGTTCCTGTTCAAAAAAAAAAAAAAAAAAAAAAAAAAAGAAGTAAATATTCAGAGACTATACATGTGTTTTTCTCCTTCTCAGTGTTTGCCCAATCGGGGGGGAATTTGTGGCCTTTTGTGGTGTTTGCCTCTCTCCTCTCCCCTTCACTTACCCACTTTGACTGCCATGTGGTATAAGTTTCTATGGCCTGCTGTTGAGTGGTGGTCTGTGCCTCTTCCACTGAATCAATCTGTGTGTGCATGTGAACAGAACAAGGAGCGGACTGATCAGATCGCAAAAATTTCCCTCTACTGCTGGATGGCAGGAACTTTTTGCACGTTCATTATAGAAGTGAGTTGCACATTCCTTACATCTTCATCGAATAAAAGATGTCGTACCTAAATTCTCAATGTAATTGTGTTTTCTAACTTTTCTTTCCTCTTGTCGAACGAAATGAATGCATAGTCTGCCCCACCCCTGCATGGTCGCAGTGTCAGCACGTACTATCACACACACATCACTATGAAATGTATTATACATGTATATATAATATTATATATGTATATGTGCAAGTGTGCCGTTTCTGCGGCAGACGGGTGTGTGGGCACTTGCCGCTGAACCACACAAACGTGGCCAACCATGCATTTTTACTATCTTGCCTATCTCTACTTGGTTACCCTCAGGCGCGTTAGCGTCTATAAATTCTCAATGTCGAGCTTCGATTGGTATTGTTTCAAATGAGAATCATGGTATGTTTTATGGATGGTTTATGATCATTCGTGGAGGGAATTAGAGACGGAATCTGGACGGCCTTTTAAAACAACACACACGCGGAAGTCTCCCACGGACATGCTCTTAAATTAGAGAGAGAATCTGGGGGGCGTTTTGAAACATCACACACACGGCAGTCTCCATTATGCAGACATGCTCTTAATCCAGCACATTACCTTCAACCACACAGGGGCTTCTCCCCTAACGGCCATAGTCTGACAGGCACTGCAGAGCCTTCTAAAAGGATCTAGATCTGGAAGTGGTCCCAATACATTTGAAATGTTGGGTCACTTCGGATGTATCTGGACCAATGGCTCTGGGTCCTTCCACGGTGAGAAGCTGACCTGTGTTTCTTGTTCTCCCTCTTCTCGTCCTACTCCCGAACCATTACGGCAAAAAAAAAAAAAAAGAAGCAATTCGCTGTGAGTGCTCATTTTGTTGTTGGGAGCTTCACCTCTGGTCCACCTTTGATAATCTATTCTTGTTTTAGCCCTTGAGAATCTTGAGATTAGTGCTTTCATCTGATTCCATCAGGACCTGAACGCATAATCTGTTTGCTTGCTGACATTGACATGTATGTACCATTCCACTACATGGGCTGGGTACAGTGATAATATCTGTATGATAATACTACGATTCTTTCTATTTGTAAAAACTTCTTTTATGTTTTGCGATGAACCAAGAAGAGGTACGCAACTGATCAGAACAGATACTCCACCTGATCTTAAGGGCCATACTGTCCGTAATACTCCGTATGATATATTTTATTTATTTATTTACCAGGCCACCAGCCGGGCTGCCGGGGTCGCCCTATTTTCCCGGACGGTCCGGCCGTGCAACGGCCAGGAACGGGCCTAGMAAAAAAAAAAAAAAAAAAAAAAACCGAAAAAAATTCAAAAAAACTATGTTATGCAGAAAAATAAACTGAACAACTTTTGCCTCAGGGTCACATCGAAATTCCTTACCATATTTAAAATAAAAAATAAAGTTAAGAATTTTTTATTTTATTTTTTATTTTATTTTTATTTTGTTTTGGCCTGGCTGGGCAAGTGGCCCCGGGCCACTCTTGTAGCCTAGTTTATTTATTTATTTAATCTCCATATGATTCTAGTTCTGTCGGAAATTCCATTTGTGTCTCGGTGTGCGTTCGCTGGGTGGATGAATGGTCCTCCCAGGGTTGTTGGTCTCTTTTGTAAATTGAAATCAGATTCACATTGTGCTTCTGCAACCTGTATTAAATGAAGAGTCTGAAGACAAAATTCCAGCATCTGGTGTCTGGAATTTTGCCCGCATTTGGGATGAATCCATCCATGGTCATGAACCACATGTGAATGTGTTGGGATGTCTGCATATCTGGATATAGGTCATGATGCACTGTGTAGCATTGTGTTAGCGTTCGGTGACCAAACCCGAACGTTCGCGACTGGAACGTGAACAAGCGTCAAAACCCTCCGAACGCGAACACAAAAATATTAACAGAATAAAAGAAGGAAAAAGTTCTCAGAAAAATCTGAAAAAAATATATGTTATATAGAATGATAATACACATTCCAGCGAGGTATGTCCAACTTTGTAACGAAACTCGAGTTAAAAATCAAAACCCAAAACAAGAAGTCTTAAAAAGAAATATGTTTGACTGAACACATTAGGGAGAAGTTCCGCTGAACACCCTAACATGTTCGGGCATTCGGAAAAGCCCCGAACAAGTTTGGTGTGCTACACAGGTCATGCACCTGGCCATCTACCTGTCCACTTACATTCTGACAAGGGTAGTCATGAAAATCAGTTGGCATCGATGATGGACCGTCTTTCGATCTGAGACTGAGTGAGTGGTGATTACTTTCTCCTCGTCGTACATCATGCTCTGTGGCTGCATCCTTTATACGATGTATTCTATACACCAAGTAATTCACAAAACTTACAAGAACCAGTTTGCTGTGTGGATGGATGTCGTCCGGGTTGTCGTTGCTGGAATAAATAGATTGTAGAGAGAGAGTGTGTGTGTTGCTGAGCTGGGGACTACGGTCCTCTTGAACATAAAATGTTGTTGCGATGCCCATGTTATTTAGTTGGGTGATTGCAGTGCTGAGGTATGATGACTATGACCAAGTGTTTTCAGACATCAGGGGTACTGTTGCATACCGTATAGGTGCAGACCAGAACAAGAACCGACCCTTCAATACAAAGTATAAGATAGCACAGCGGAAGACTTAGATACAAATGATCCGAACAATCAATATTGCAATGCAGCCCCGAACATACATCATCATCATCATGGTGTGAAGGGGTCTGGCGCTTCACACAAGAAGACTGCGCCAGCCCCAACCATACACAGACGAAGGAGGTGGGGTTAGACGAAGAAGAAGGGAAGATGGGAATGTCGTCAACACCAAGTGTTCAGCACAGGCCCAAAT